TGTAATTTATGTTTCTGTAACCAAGTATCTGAGACTGAGTAATTTATATGAAAACAGAAGTTTGCCAGGGAGATAGCCCAGCAGCATAAGTGCATGGCAAGTGCAAGGTCCTGAGTTTGATCCCTGGTAGTGGAAAAACAGAAAGAGACAGAGACAGAGAAAAGGAGGAGAAGGAGAAGGAGGAGGAGAAAGAGAAAAAGAGAAAGAAACAGAAAGAGGAGAAAGAGACAGAATACAGATGTCTAAAGGCTCAGAAATCCCAGGGCCTGGTACTACCATTTGTCAGTCTGTGCCGGGGCCATGGGCTGCAGCTTAACACAGTGGGGAATCACATGGTGACAGAGTGACCCAGCATGATTTTTCTTTCTCTTATAAAGCCATTAACTCCATGAATGAGGTCCCCACCCTATAAACACCTATGATCTGACCTCCCAAAGGCCTCATTTACAACATATGAATTTGGTAACTAGATTTCGAACACATGAACTTTGTGGGGACACATCAACCCCAAGCAACCACTTGAATCTCTGTGATCAACCAGTTCTTAAATGAAAAGTATATAGCCTGTGCCCTAAAGACACTCCAAATCCACTTTTGCCATTTCTTGAGTTCAGAGACCCACATGGAGGCCACCCCTGACCCCTATGAAGAAAGCCAGCTCCAAAGGCCACAGTGAGATCCAGTTGTGGGGGAAAAGACACTGGGCATCAGCAGGGGATCTACGCAAAAGGGCTTCTGGCTCCTTCTGTCACACTCATGTCCTCACCCCTGGCCACTTGTCAGAGGCCTTCCTACAAGACAGAAGACAGCAGTTTAGGGCTTGGTGTACTGTTCTCACCTGTACACAAGTGTGTTCTAAGAACACTCACATAGCTCATGGCCCCTCCTGTTTGAGAGCCAACAGTACCATGAACATTCATAAGGCTTCTTCACTGAGGTCCACTCAGTGACAGCAAATTGGTTCAAAACGACTCAGTGCCATGGCCTCAGCAGAAAAGGTGGCTGGCCTGCTGCCCTGGCCAGAGACACAGATGTATACTAGTGTGTCATGTGTGCCCCCTTCCCTTTCTGGATTATAAGCAACCCTATCAAGAGGTTGAAGAGCACAGCTAGCTAAGCCGTAGAAATAATAACAACAACAAAATGCCTAGAGCCAGTAGTTTTTGTAAAATGAATGATTTGGGCTTAAATTTTTGGTGTTCTAAGGAAACAGATTCATGCATACTCTAGGATCTGGGAGTTCAAATTCTCAGGACCCTGAATTTATAAATCAGGTGATAGTGAGGTAAAACACAAGATATTTTTACTCTGAGACAGAGACAGATTCAACAAATGGGATCACTTGTCTGAGCAGAAGCCAGCATACCTTCCAGCCTTGCAAAGAAGAATTTGGTAGCTCTCGCCAAGTTTGACAGAGTTCCCACGGACACACACGAAAGCACAGATCCTTTTTCCTAGTGAGTCAAACCTGGCCACTGAGCAGAGAGGAGTCTGAGAGAGAACTTGCTTCCTCCTCAGCACTGGGGGATGCATGCCTGGATAGATGGAAGGCCGATTAGTTCCATGAAAGTGCAATGGTTGTGGGCAAAGGCCAAGCACAGTTGCTAAAAGCTATTTTAAGCAGTTTACCTTTCAGTCTGGGACTGGAGGAAACACAGACATGAGGCACAAAGGAAACTGTCCTGATGAACCTTTCTAGGAGAGTAGATGTTCACGCCACTCCAGACCTAAATGATCTGTACAGAGGTATGGCAGCAAGTGAGGGCTTCAGTTTCCTGTGAGCTTAGATATTCATGGAAGTTTCTGGAGCAGACAGTCCAAGAGTCCTTTCCAAACCAATAACTCACCTCAGAGAGCTAGACCCCACAGCTTTCATTCTACACTAAGGATAAAATTATCTTACTTTTTTCTCCTGAGGAAAATAATTCTAGAAGCAATATGTAGACATTTAAGATTTTTGAAACACAGTGCCAAATATCTAATCAGAATGATTGTCTCAATTTACACATGCATAAAAATGTCTGTTTGCAAACTGCCATTCAGTAATTGAGGGAAATTTTTGTTTCAATTGGCACTTAAAACTGAATAGTAAATCAGAGTATTTTTCTTTAAAATGCTGCTGTCCTTGGCCACATTTCTGAAATGTTAGGGGGGGGGGGGTCCTTATTGATTTGTATGATGTCTTTTAAATGTGACAGTTGCAAATATTTTCCCAGCTTGTCATGCGTTAATTTCACTTACTGGTGTTCAGGCCACACAGAAGTGCTGGATTTTAATCTTTATCTTTGTTGTTTCTACCTTTGTTACTAAGGTTTGGAAAGTCCTTCTTATGCCAAGATTGCAAAAATATTAATCCATATGTTCTTCTGGGCCTCTTTTGGATCTATGTTTACACATTCTATATTTAATCTTTCTGGAGGCTATCTTGGCATAGAAGTTAGTTAGATAAACATTTAACTTTACCCACCTCCCTCTCGTCTTTTGTCATGACACCATTTATTGAATTGTCTTACCTTCCCCTGGCGTTTTGAAATGTCTGTGGAGTGGGAGAATAGTTCTTTGGCAGGCTTTCAACTCTACATTGCTGATAACCTCCTTTCTGCTAGAATGCAGGCAGTGGCTAAAGATGGGGCACATTTAGGGTCTGGAAAGACTGGTACGTCCCTAGGGAGAACTGATTCTCATCTTAAGCTCATCAACTCCAGTCCTAACCACTCTCTGCCCTACTCTATTCTATATGTCCACTTTCCTCAGATTCCTTAAGAGAATTTTTGCAGATTTATGAGAAAACATGACTATCATTGCTCTTCACAGCCACTTTTTTCCCTCCAAAGCTTTCCCAACTACTTTCATGTCAGGGTCTGAAATTTATACCTGTCCCACAGCTGGCCTTGAACTCAGTAGAACCCATATACCTACACTGGTTTCCAGGCACAGGGTGCTGCTTGTCACAATATCTGACAGAAGTCAGAAAACTGTTACTTACCCACACAGAGCCTTGGGAGGGTGTCTTAGTTACTCTTCTCTCATTGCTGGGACAAATACCCGACACCAAAATGAAGGAAGGAAAGGTTTGTTTAGCTCAGAGTTATTGGAGGTTTCAGTTCATATTCTGCTGGGTCCAAGGCAGAGCAGCACATGGCAGAAAGCAACCTTTCACAGCAGCAGCAAAGAGCAAGAGCACAAGGGAGGGGTAGCAGCAGCTCTAGCAGCTAGTTTCTCTTCTCACCTTACATTGTAATGCAAATTACCTGCTCCAGGGAAGGTGCAGCATCCACACCCACAATAATCGATCACAAACTCCAGAAGCCACCCCAAGACTGCATGAGGCTTTGGGGGGACAACTATACACAAACCATTAACAGAGGGAGAGACACACAGCACTGCCCTCCTCAGAGAAGCACACTGGAGTTGCTGTGTGTCTTCTATTTTAAAGAACAAAAAGTGTCTGGGGCTGTCTAGAAGGAAAGGAAGGCTAGAGACCAGGAGGTGAGGCCCCAGGGAGCTTGGCCACAGCCACTCCTTCGCACTGTCCAGGAGTAGTGAGCTTCGGGCAGTTTACACTGCAGACTCCTCTGGCCCAGGTGTCAGATGGTTTTTTGTTTCTGTTTTTGTTTTGTTTTATTTCCTTTTTCCTTTTCCCAACCAGATACCAGAGAAGCAGAGGGCACTGTGCTCACATTTGGGTGGTCAAAATTCAGCACAACCATGACAAAATGAGCTCAACAAATACATGTTAAATGAATTTAAGTAATTATGTTAAAGGAGCCCGGGAGATAGCTCTGAGGTCTAAGTGCCTATCTGGCAAGTGCAAAGACCTGGATTCATCCCTGCTACCACATTTCCTGCCGGCCAATGGCAAACTGCACTGGCCACGGAAACAGGGCATGGTGGCACATGCCTGTAATCGCAGTGCTGGGGAGGCTGAGACGGGAGGATCACTACAAGTCAGAGCTGCATAGTGAGATCCTGTGCCAAATAAATAAATTTTAATTATGTTACGAATAGTAATATTGAACTAATATTACCATTAGTTAATAGTGATTTATGAATCATTATTATTTACATGGCCCAAGAGCATATTTTGTGAAATCAAACTTTCTGTTTTACCTAACAGTGTTTGGCTTTGGAATAGACAACGAGAACACAGCAAGTCTTAAAAGTTCTAATAGGATGACAAGACTACAGCGGGGGGAGGGGTCTAGCAAAGGCCAGCAGGCAACAGGGCTCTAGGATGAAGCCAGTGTCCTACAAAAGTGCCCAGATATTCAAAGGAGACTGAAGTATTTGGGGAGAATTTATCTCATGGATGCTCAAAAGCAACCCTGCTCCCTCTCAGGGTGAGGCTTTGAGTGCCTGTGTTCTTGTTAGTCCTCAAAGAAGTTCTAACTTCTTCAGTCATAAAAACTTAACTTTTCATTTGCTGTATCCTCTCCGCAGCCCATAAAGTCCAGGCAGAACTATACGTCTTGCGAAGGAGGCAGCTGGCCGGGCACCTTCCACCGCCCCTGTCACTGTCCCTGTCTGCCTCCAGCTAAGTAGCCCACAGCGCCCGCAGCTCATCAGCGAAACTACAAGCAAACCCTGGGCATTTCTTTCAGTCGCTGGACGACCTCTCTCACCCACTATTTCTACCTTCATTTCGTTAAAAAGGCCACAGGACGTCCCAAATTCATTATTTGAAATGTCCACTCCCAGGTCCTGAGCCCTAGTCCTGGAACACTGCCCCAACTGAGGCTCAACATATGATCTCTTAGAGACGGAGGCTCTACCACCGGTGTTTCCCAGTAACTTGAACCCATGACACGCAGCCGACAACTTTAACTGTCAGTTTCTCGGTCAGTATCTTTAACCAAAAGATACTCGCCGCGGACCAGAGCACACTTTCCACGGTACCCGGGGTCACGCGGAAGCTCCAGGGACCTGTAGAGGGTCGCGCACGGACTCTTGGGAGCAGTAGCACGCCGCGCGGAGGCTCCTGGGAGCCGTGGTCCGTCGCGCAGGGGTTCCTGGGAGCTGTGGTAGGCCGCGCGCCCCTGCGCTGCGGGCTTGGCGCCGGCTTTGTCTGTCTACGGGTGCGCGCCGCTGCGGTGAGTGAGGCCGTGGCCGGTCGGCGCGCCTGACAAGGCGGGACCTCCGCTGTCAACCACCCCGCCGCCACTCCGGGCCCTCCGCGCGGACTTGAGCAGGCTAGGCCTGCCCAGGACAGTGGGGAGAGGACAGCCCGCAGACGAGGGTCCCTGGGCCGGAGATCAGGACCTGAGTCCCGAACCCAGGACGTACGGGGTTTGGCAGGCAAAAGGAGAGATCCGCCTGGACCGTGTGTGGTGGGGCAGGACGAGCGGAAGGCCCCGCCACCTGCAGAGGAGGCGCGGGGACAGGCAGGGCAGCTCCTGGGGAGGTGAGGAGACCTCCGAGTGCGGGGACCCCGGGGGTGGGGTGAATCAGCCCACCTGGAAGCTCCTGACCCTTGGAGCCATCCCCAAGAGTTTCCTCACGCGCGAAGCGTGCCCTGTTCCACCCTAGCCATTCTGGGGACTCAAGACTTTAGGCCTTAAATCTGCAGGCCATGTTGGAGACCCACATTTGGGTCTTGTACTCTCCTGGGAGCTATCTGGTAAGACAGTGATGTCAACCTTTTCAGTAACAAGGAGGCAGAGGCAGGGTAGTGTAGTGACTTGGTCCCACACTGGGGGAGCCAAGTGGGCATCCAGGACCTCATTCTGAGCTTTTTTCCTGAAGATAAAATAGCGTTTCTGGTAGGGAAATCAATGTTTCTTATTGAAAAACCACAGTCTCCAATTTCTTTGAGAATTTGATTCTGCATACCTGTGATAAAGGGAGAACACTTAGACAAGTTCCCCTTTTTACTTTATTTTATTTTATTTTTTTAAGTTCCCCATTTTAATAAAAGAGGCTCCAGAGGATGCTGAGTGTTTCCTGTTAGAGATCTCACAGCAGGTAGAGAGGTAGAGCTGTAGATTCTACTCACTTTTTCAGACTAAACCCTATTTTCTGGAATCCCCAATGACAAGAGTCATGCCCCAGGCAAAAGTACCATCTTCTGTACATTTTCGCTGTCTGTATGTGCAGTTCTTGATCACTAATACCGTGATCTTCCAAGCAAGTGTGCCAGCACTTTAATCGGGGCCTCCTTACTGGCTTATATTATAACACTGGAAGCAAAACCTTGGAAAAGAGCTCTTGGTCATCACAACATATAGCTGAACCTACAGTTGTCAAGAAGTGCCAGGTACTTGGTTAGCAAAGAATTGTACCACCATACTGCTCTCTGAAATCAGTATTTTGATGGGCTATATTTGAGGAAACAAAGATCACACATTGATCCACTGCGTAAAGAAAGTAGGAGAATTTAGTAACAATGATCCCAAAGTAAAAAATATTCTAAAGGGAAAAATAGGAGAGGGATGGGTCTAAGTTTAGTATTGCCTAAAAATCTTAAAAGGCTGTTGCATGGTCCTCATGACCTAAGGAAACTGGAAAAGAGCTGGAGTTACTCCACCGTGGAACCAATCATGAAGATTGAAATGCTAGATTTTTAGATTTTTAATTCCTGGGGGCTTGGAGAAAAAAATAAAAGACAATAGACAAGTTAAGTAGGAAGTAGACGATCCAAGTGTTATGCCAAGAGCAAGATGTGGGAATGACCATTAACAGGAACAAATGCATGTTTGTATGTCCATGGTTTCCCACCTCTTTCCTTCTGGATTCATTTTTGTGTTGTCCTACCTTTGAGCCCTTTATGCAGTGACAATTTAAGTGACTGACATTACATCAAGCAATTTAGATTTCCTGTTTCCACTATACCTCAAACTGAAGCTTCTGTTGGAATGTGTCCTTCTCACTTATCAGTTGTGTTCTTTCTTGCTTTTGTTATTTTGTTTGTCTCTTGCCCACAGGTACTCAAGAATAGCCCATGGAAGAATCATCTGAAGAGGTGGTGATTAAGGTCTCAGACAAGGAGTGGACATGTTTGGATTCCCAACAGCTACCCTGCTGGACTGTCACGGGAGATATGCCCAGAATGTAGCATTTTTCAGTGAGTGAGTCAGCTGGTCACTGGGATGCCCTCAGCTCTCAACGACTCAGGGTCCCTGCTCTTAGCACTGACCCATAGTCTGAGGATACAGATGAGACATCCCTTTGTTGGGATCACAGGAAAAACTTACAAGCTAAAGTCAGAAATAACAGTCAAAACAAAGCAAAGGAACAGTCTTGATGCAGAGGTAGTCTTGAGATGGAATCAAAATAAATAGGCACTTTTAACTCAGCACCATCACTGAAGAAGGTAAGGTAGGGGAGCAAAGAACAATCTTCCCGAAGATGACACCAAGAAAACTGGCATATTAAAGTATACTAGGAGCCTCACATACAGGGCAGTATTAGAAAATACTGTCAATATCTGCAAATGAGGCTTGACATATTGCTGTATGCCTATTAATCCCAACATTTTGGGAACTAAGGCAAAGGATTGCAAGTTCAGACCCAGCCAGGACAACTCAGTCATTTAGCAAGGCCTTATGTTAAAATTAAAAATTTAAATTAAAATAACAATTTAAAAAAAAATAAAGCCTACAGATGTTGCTCGGTGTAAAGGCCCTAAATTTAATTCCTAGTGCCACAAGAAAAAAAAAATTCATACCAAAGATTGTGATGCAACAGTTGATTTCAATTCATAGATTGAAAATAGCATGGATTTTAAAAGAAAACTCCTTTAATCAAATTCTCTGATTGCTCTCAGTAGGTTTGCAGTATCAGATAAGTTACTTAACTTCCTTAAGCTCTGGGCCCTTAATCTATAGAATGGAACAATAAGCTTGTAGGATTTCAGGGTTAGAACTGATAGATTAAAAAATACCCAGGATTCTGTTTCACATTTTCTGAGGTAGTAAACCTTATTCCACACAAGAACAGACTAGAATAAAACAGATTTCTCAGGAAGCTGCTGCAACTCAAACCTCTGGACTCTATATAACATTGGTCTCTTTAAGGATTTTCTTTTATATTTTTTAAAAGGGATTCCTCTAAAAGTTTTATAGCTTTATGCCCTATCCTGGATCCATACCTGTTTGGGAGTCAGATAAAACTGGGACATAGGCCTGTGGGTGATGCTATATGGTTTCCTTAATTTCTTGAGCCTTTTTTTTTTTTTTTACCTATAAAGATAACCATGCTTACCTGAAAAGATGATTTTGAAGGCTATATTTAATTTGGAGGTAATACATGGCTGTGGAGCTCTCAGGTATTTGAACCACAGCTCTAATTTATGTAAGGTTGTGACCTTTGACACCTTGCTTCTGTTCCTCTTTTCTTATCTATAGCAATCTCATTAGATTGTTCTCAGGATTAAGTTATCTAGCAATATTTAGTCTAATGCCTACCATACAGTAAGCACTGAGCATTGTGTTTCTGTTTTTCCTGTTCTCACTCAGTACATCGGTACATCTTGACTTCTCTCTTATTTTACTAGATGTGATGACAGAAGCCCACCACAAATATGATCACTCTGATGCCACCGGATCCTCCAGCTGGGATTTCCAGAATGCTTTCAGAAGAGAGAAGCTGGAACAGAAGTCCCCAGATTCTAAGACCCTCCAGGAAGATTCACCTGGAGTGAGACATAAGGTTTATGAGTGCCAGGACTGTGGCAAGTCCTTCCGGCAAAAAGGTAGCCTGACATTACATGAGAGAATCCACACTGGTCAAAAGCCCTTTGAGTGTACCCATTGTGGAAAAAGCTTCCGGGCCAAAGGTAATCTTGTTACACACCAGCGAGTACACACAGGAGAAAAGCCTTATGAGTGCAAAGAGTGTGGGAAAAGCTTTAGTCAGCGAGGCAGTCTGGCTGTCCATGAGAGACTCCACACTGGACAAAAACCCTATGAGTGTGCCATTTGCCAGAGAAGCTTCAGGAATCAAAGTAACCTTGCTGTTCATCGAAGAGTTCACAGTGGAGAAAAGCCCTACAGATGTGACCAGTGTGGGAAAGCCTTCAGTCAGAAAGGTAGCTTAATTGTTCACATCCGAGTACACACAGGCCTGAAGCCCTACGCCTGTGCCCAGTGTAGGAAAAGCTTCCACACCAGAGGGAATTGTGTTCTGCATGGCAAAGTCCACACAGGAGAGGCACCCTTCCTGTGCAGCCAGTGTGGAAAAAGCTTCACCCAGAGAGGGAGTCTGGCTGTGCACCAGCGAAGCTGCTCACAGAGACTCACCCTCTGACTTTCTTCACAGGAAGTTCTCTGTATGGATTAAAAGAAATTCTCTTTATGAATTAAAAGTGCAAAACCCTCCGCAATCACATAACCTATCCAATGGCATGAAATGAAGAATCTTCTACGAAGACCAGTATTGGGTAGGATAAACTGACTTTTCCTTTCCCCCAGATAAATATGAAAATAAATGTCTTGTTTATCATTGTCATGTATTTTTCATAATTTCTGTCAGTTCATTTTGACCTGATTTATTAGGGCACCTTCATTAATCTAGTGCCACTCTAGAGATTATTCTGAATATAGCAGATACAAATTTTAAATTTGTAGTTGATGCCATCGACTTTTAAAAGTAATCGGCCTCCTTATTATTCCCAATGTCCTTTACTTCCCTACATATTCATATCAATCTTGTTTTATATTCACAATCAGTAAGCAAAATACAGGGGGGGGCATTTAATTACTTTAATAATCCTCTTAGTGAACTTTTCATTATCTAGATAACAAATCATTACCCCATAACCTGTGCTAAACCACTCCTGTTCATAGCAGAGGCCCTAGCCTGTTCTTATAGAAGTTTCCTTTCCAAGCCTGCAAAGGTTTGGGGTTTGTACTTGAAGATTTTTTTCAATCCTCCATTCTTAGCTGGGATAGAGATAATTTGCCTCTTACCTAAAGAGCAGACAACTTCTATCTGTGCAACTTTTTTTTTTATCTTCAGCTCGTAAAGTACTACAAAAATGATGTCTTTCTCCACAGAATAAACTTAACTTTTTTAACCTCTAGGAGATAAGACTTAAAGAGAAATTTGATTTTTAAGGGAATTTACATTACTTCCATCTCTATAACTTTTCATGCTAAGCATTTATGTAAGTAAAATGATGAAGTGTAGGGTGTGGTTTATAGTAACTTTTTTTTTTGGTGGAACCGGGGATTGAACTCAGACCCTTGCACTTGACAGGGAAGTGCTTATTGTACTGAGCCATCTCCCCAGCCCCTATAGTAACTCTTATGAACTGTAGGCCCCTTGATCCCAAAATCTCATGACACGGGAGGCTGAAACAGGAGGATCACAAGTTGGAGCCTGGCCTGAGCAGCTTACCAAGTTAGCAAGACACTCTCCCAAATTAAAAAGGAAAAGGGAGGTGGGGCGTGGTGGCTGAGGATGTAATTCACTGCAAAAAACACGGAATTAATCCCCAGAGCCATATTTCTTTTGAAAAGTACATGATAACAAATCATTGTTATATAAAGAAGAAATTTCCATCAAAAGTCTTTGGGCATTGAAACACTATGGATTTGAGTAGTAAGAAAATAGTACTGTCAAAGATACTCTGGTAACATTAGAAGATATACACAAAACATTCTTAACATCCTCAGTGATGATAACCACACTGGAAATAACTCAAGGCCCCAACAAGAGGTGAAAGGTAAATAAATTATAGACATACAATGAATACAAGTTACCAACAAAAGGCAAACCAGTACGCAGGCACAGTGGCACACTTCTATGATCCCAGTTACTCTGGAGGATGGAGCAAGAGCCAAAGTTTAAAGTCAATGTGGGGCACTTAGACAATGTTTCTAAAAATAAAAAGGGCTGGTGGTGGATGTAGCTCAGTAGTATAGCATCTCCAGCTTCAATCCACAGTGGAAAAAAGTAAACAGCTGATATGGTTCACATAGGTATGTACTAAAGCCATATTCTGAGTGAAAGAACCTAAGTACATTCACACAAACGAACATGCACACACAAATACTGTGTATAATTTCATTCTTAAAACTTCACAGTAGATAGCTTAGTAGAATAAACTTGCCTGGCAAGCACAAGGGCCTGAGTTCAATCCCCAGTTTCACCAAAGGAAGGAAAAAAAAAAAACTTCACAGAAGAGAAATAACCAAGAATGGACTTAAAGGGACACAGAACTTCTTATAGAATAAAAAAGTATACTTAAGGTAGCTCAGCAGATTAAAGCGCCTGCTAGCAGGCACAGGGACCAGGGTGCAATCCCCAGGCCTGCTGTGCTGGCCCCACGCCCAGAGGGAACACTGAGAGCAATTGAGACTGGGCATGGTGGCGTGCACCTGTAATCCTAGCACTTGGGAGGCTGTGAACAGGAGAATCACTATGAGTCAGATCTAGTACTGAGACCCTGAACACCCTTTAGACCCCTAAAAATACAGAAATAAATAAAAGTATACTTAAGGTGATAGACTCATGAGTTTGTACAGTTAAATTCATCACTTGAAATCTATGTTCATTATATGTAATGTGTATTTTAAGAAGAATGAGGCAAGTTGAAAATATTACTAGTTCTCTGACACCATGTAAAGACAATGTCACCGATCCTTGATCTGGACAGGCTTCAAACAATAGAAACAAGAGAAGTGATATTACATGACTTCCAAGGACAGGTCTAAAGAGCTTGCCTGGGTCTTGTGGAACACTTACTATAGAAGAAATCTGCCACCATGTAAAAAAAAAACAAGGGCCAGCAGGTAGCTCAGTGGATTAAAGCACCTGCTTAGGTAGACTCAGGGGCCAGAGTTTGATCCCCAGTGTACTGTGCTGGCCCTGTCCCCAGGGCACACTGAGATAGCTAATGAGACTGGGCATGGTGGCACGTACCTGTAATCCCAGCCGTTGGAAGGCTGAAAAACAGGAAGGATCACTATGAGTCTGATCTGTATGGTGAGACCCTGTAGACCTTGTATTAAATACATTTTTTAAAAAAAGTATTCTGAAACCACTATAATGTGCAGACTGCATGTAAGCATGCTAGTAGACAGATTCAGCTGAGCTCCCTGAAGAACTGGCATGAATTCCAAGCTATAGAATCCAGCCACTGCAGACATCCAGCTCAAGACAATTTCATATGACTTCAGCCCTGCTGAACTCTGACTCGTAATTGTCAAGCAAGCCATGTTCCTATCTAGACTCTGGATAGAGAAGATTCTTTCCTAAGCCCATGTAGGTGGTGACAGAATACATTTCCTTGTGTGATTGAAGGTCCCAGCTTATTCCTAGCTCTTGACTAAAGTTTTTCTTAGGTGCCTGGAAGTTTTCTGCCGCCATATGGCAGTTTGTTTCTAAGTACAACCTCAATTTATCTTTACCATCTACTGAGAACACAGACACATATCGCTTAATCATGGCAATGATATTCCATCATGTTTGCCAAACTCTATACATAGATGGAAGCAAGTCTCAAGTTCTACACACACTCAAGTAAGGGACCATTCAGGGGTTGGGCTACTTGAGGGTAACCTACATATATTCATTTCATGAACTGCTAAAACAGATGTTTCATTCCTTCTGTTTTATACCATTCTTCTATAAATTTGCTTAAATTTCTTTTATGTTTTAAACTATCCATGATATGCTTTTATCATAAAAGATCTAAGTAATACATAAACTACCTAGGAAGGGCACTACACCATTATTCTAAGATTCAGCTGTTTTAACAGTGGTTTAGACATCTTTCTGTCAGTTCACACATGCCTAACTTACCAAATAGTAATTGATTTAGGAGCTGCCTTTTAATTAATTATTAAATGACAAGGAAAGTGTGTATGTTTTCTTAAGAGTTATTTTAAGGCACTTGGGGTAGGGGCATTTTGTTTTGTTTTGTTTTGTTTTGTTTTTGTTTTGTTTGTAGCAGAAATCAAACTCAGAACCTCACATTTACCAGACAGGCACTGTCACCATCTTAAGTTCACTGTTGCTCTGTTATGGACATTACAATTATTACAGCTTTTCATTACTACAGTACTGTAAAGGCCATCTTTTCTTTTTTTTTTTTATTTTAAATTTTTTTTTATTTATTTATTAGAGAGAGAGAGAGAGAGAGAGAGAGAGAGAGAGAGAGAGAGAGAGAGTGTGGCCAGCTCAGCCCACCAGGAGGCGGGGCCGGCTGGCATGTGGTGCTGGGGGATCGAACCACGGTCCCTGATGCTTTGCCAAGCTTGTTCCAAGTAGGTGCTTTAGACCACCGAGCCATCTCTCCAGCCCAAGGCCATCTTTTCTTTTGCTTTGGTTTGATTTGGTTCAGGACAGGGTCTTGCTATGTAGTCCAGGCCAGCCTGAAACTCACTATGTAAGCCAGGCTGGCCTTACAGCCGTCCTGCCTCTGTGTGCCCAAGTACTGGCATTACAGGTATGTGCCGCCACGCCTGGCTTTTATTAATTCTTAATAGGCAGAAATGTTACAGGGTCAAAGTTGGTAGATACTCTCAAAGTATAGTCAAAAGATCATTGCCCATGGGGTTTTTTGGCTTTATCACATTTTTAAGCACACTCTAGTATTAGTTAACTAATAATTGTAATATTTTCCCCAACTCTGACTCCTTGTATATTAATACTGTGAAGTCTCTGGTCATACAAAAAGTTTTAGTGGTTTTGTTTTGTTTAAGAGACTAAAAATTAGTTTAAAAAATTAGAAATTATATAGAACTTCACTAAACACAATAACAGGAATTCAGCAATGGTTGTTATATTACAAAATGTTGTCTTCAGATTAGTTGTTTAGATTACCAGATATAAGCATGCAAAATTGATAGAAAAGGAAAAAACTTACAAGAAATTTAAAAGGCAAAGAAAAAAAAAATAGGCATTAACTGCTCCTTTCAATAGACCAGCAGAAATCAGCAGTACAATTATCCAAGCTATTCTGTATATATATATACATAAATATATCTTTTTCCCTTCTTTCTTTCTTTTCTCCTTTTCCTCATCCCAGTTGTTCCTTCCCTTTGAACAGCTTCTTTCCCTTTCCCAGTGTCTATTATATCTTTCAGGTTTTATTTGCTCTTTCAGGGTTTTTTGTTTTTTTTGTTTTTTTTTTTTCAGTACCAGGGATTGAACTCAGGGCCTTGCACTTGCCAGGCAAGCACTTATTCTACTGAGTTTTCTCCCTGACCCCTCTTTCAGATTCTTATACTAACAAGACAATATGATGTTTATACATGCAGGTCCAATTTATTTCACTTATGAGTATGGTCTCTAGTTGCATCCATTTACCTATAAAAGCCTTGAGTTTATCTTTTTTGATAGCTGGGTAATACTTCATTGTATAAAAATATCGTATCTTTTAATCAATTCTTCAGTTGATGGGCATTTGGGTTGCTTCCAAGATTTAGCTATGACAAATTGCACTGCTATAAACATGGGTGCACATATATCACTGTGGTATGATGTTTTCAGTTCTTTTTTTTT